CAAGCTAGTCCCATTCGATCGTTTCGCGAACGGGCATTATAAAAATGAACCCAGTTGCAAAAAAAAAAAAAAAAAAAAACGATTTGGATTTAATGAGAATGTTTCACCGAGGCGGACCAAGTGAGAATAGGACTAAACGCGCAAGGTTCAAATGCGAATGGTCCGTTTTCAGATAACGGGCAAAATCAGAATAGGCCCAGTTGAAAAAAACCTGATTCGAATCACATGAGAAGGTTCAAACGAGGCGGACCAAGTGAGAATAGGACGAAATGCGCCACGTCCAAATGCGAATGGGACGTTTTCAGATAACGGGCAAAATGAGAATGGGCCCAGTTGAGAAAACTGATTCGGGTTTTATGAGAAGGTTCAAACGAGAAGGACGAAATGAGAATGGGACGAAATGCGCAAGGTTCAAACGCGAATGGGACGTTTTGAGATACACCCGGTTCGGGGCTGGGGCGATACCCCCCCCCCCCCCCCCCCCCCCCTTTCCACCCTTATGCCCCTTGCCCCCTTTCGACGCAACTGGGGAGGGGGGAGGGGGCTAAATCCCCCCACCCTCCCCATCCTCCTGTTTCGACGACCCTGCTTAGAGGTGTTCCAATGAGCAATGACGAGGAACAGCACAGCCTGCAATTTTCGAAATAACGGTTCAAGAGATTCTGGAATTAAAACGGCTCGCGTTCCATGAACTCAAGAGTGGCCATGACAGAATTTTCAAGCGAAAGACTCGTGCCAGGACTGTATATAGTGTGCGGGCGCGTTCAGTGACGTGATTTTATAGTTGATACTTTTGACGATGGAGTCAGGATTATCAGTTGTGAACGACAAATTTGATGGTGCGTGTTCAAATCGACGATGTCAAGTTTAGTGTCCTTGCGTTCTTGAAGCATCACCGCCAATATTGACAACCTGACATTACTTTTATTTCCTTATTTCCGTTGATAAACATACTTAATCCCAAACTGACTGATCTTCGAATGTCTACCATAAAATGATTTTATCCCGCCGATGAAGGAACAACTGAACGGAGGCGAAATTCACCCGAAAATGGACAACGGTAGTCGGTTGGTTGTGACCTAGCCACGTCGGGCTACACTTTGGCCAACGAGATAAATCAAAGAACGGCAGGGACGCTTTTTAGTAAATTCTGCTTTATCGGCGGAAATAAGAACGATACCAGACTATCAACTTCGACGGTGTTGATTTTAAAATGCAATTCCCAAGCATCCATCGTGCTTTTTATAGACCGTCAAACATGACGGTCGCAGCTGATAATCTTTGTTGTGACGTCACACGTATGAGCCACGGTCGTCTCCGCGCGCTCTCTAGTGCTGCTTTTGTTCGGTGCCTAGGGAGGCGTAGGGATTTTTCGTCCCCTCAACGAAAAACGTCACGAAGACAGATGGATCTGCGGGTTTGTGAGAAAAGAAAACTTAGCAGCAATCTTTCGGCTCCTCCCCCCACTATGTCATAACACAAAGAATATTTTTGTTGACGAGTTTAGCGACCTTGGAGTGTGTTTCGACGGGTTGAAGTGCACTCGCTTGTAGTGACACTAAACTAGCCCGTCTGACAGGGGTATAATAGACCCCTTTCCCATGAAGTGCGCTATCAAAATCGTTGCACATGGGTGAAGCCCTCCCTAGGTCGTCTTTCTTTGGATTACTTTTTATTTCATTTATTGAAATAAGGATAATTTGAGACGATCAATTTTCACGGTGTTGGTTTAATAACGCAACTACTCCAAGCTTCCACTTTGCGCTTTACACCAACCACGACTCTTGCCCTTTGCAACTAATGATAAGCAGCTAGGGCCGACTTGCTAGAAAGAGCGTCTCAGTTGAGACCGGGGAAGAAAGCACTGCCAAAGCGCGAGCTGAGCGGGACTTAAGCCGAATCTCAAGGCACTCGCGCACCCCACCCTTTGCACTGCTTTCTTTCATTCAGTGTCAGCTGAGACGCTGTTCTAGCAAGCCGGTCCAGGATCACAACTCCTGAAATTTCATCGCGCTTCCCTTTCGTTTTTATGAGTCCCCGCAATCACTGTGGCGAAATAAAATCAAGCAAGACGTTCAGTGCTGCCTTGCCATGTTCTTCTATGACCTGGCTAGATAGTGGTTTTTCCTATAACCTTCACTCTGGCCTAGGAGTAATGGGACTTCTTTAGCCGCGTGGGGTGCGACCGTATACCATGCCCACGGTGACCATGCCCTAAAGCCTCTTTATCCTGCAGGAAAAGTGGCGCCATTCATTGTCGTGAAAATGCTCGAAACACGTGCCGCGCGCCACTTCTGGGAAAAACATGGCGTCTGAAATCTAGCTGTGTTACAGTGTAGTAGTTTTCTAGTACACTGTAGCTGTGTGCAACGTTCCTAGATTACCTCAGTTGTGGAACTCAAGCAGAAGGGGGTACCCCCCCTCACTCACCTCAATCCGCCAAGTGTCGTTCGAAGCGCCATCTAGATTTTCCTTTCATAACTGTGCGTTCCAAAGAGCAGAGATGAAGCGCCATCTAGACGCCGTGCTTCGAAACGTACGTAGCGATCCCAGCGATCCCGACCCGATTTCGCCGTGCCCGATTCCCATAGAATACGCTGCAGTTACCAAAGCAGCCGTCCGGCAGCGCGTCGAGCGACGCTTGGCGAGTTGTGGTGAGTGAGGGGGGGTACTGCTCGTGCATGCAGCGTCTATGAGCAGTTCCGTAACTGAGCTAATCTAATAACGTTGGCTGTGTGCTGCGCTGTGCCACCATTATCTTCCCAAGGGCCGCATGTTGCACGTGCCGCGTGCATCGGCGCACCTTGCGCTACTTTTCAAACATGAAGGGGCTCTACTATGCCCAACACCACCTGAGCCATCCTGAACATTTTTTGCGACCACAGCGATTAAAAATGTGTGCAATTATACTTGCTCGAATTAACTGTAGTGAGCCGATCGAAATACGTTTCACATACGATAATTAAATGCCTGTCAATACAAACTCGTTTCTTGAGCAGACGAAGAAAAAAGAGGTGTCCCGCAAAAGTCCCTGAAGGCAGACGGACTCATAATCTGTGGGTCTAATTAGTCTAGGAACTTCTCCAAATCAACCAAGGAGCAAACAGGACAACACGGCTAGGAGGAGGTGCCTCTCAGAATGAATTAAAGCGCTGCAGGTGCGGTAAGGTTCCAGCGACCCCTTTGAGCTCCCGTCGCAGGGAGCAACTACTCCCCGTGCAAAGGCCGTAAGAAGTCGCGCCTTTTCACTCTAGCCTAAACTTTAGCCCGGCCATTGTTCTTCCAAGTGCTGAACGAGGCAAGCACATGTTCATTAGCAATATTCCAGTCGCATTCGTTCTGTCGCGCGCGTACCCAACAAAAATACTTTAATGTTGTTGTTGTTTTGTTGTTGCTTTTTTTTGAATGTGGTACAATGCTTTCTCAATGTCCTCGGGAAAATACATGCACCATGAAACACAGAATATAGCGGGAAAAGACGAGGATTTAGCCGCCAGTAGCATTTGAAACTGCGCCTACGCAGGCTGCGCCTATTGAAATCATAGTCCACTCGGTTAGGGTTAGAAGGGACGCCGGTGAGAGTCTAGCCTCAAACTCAGTGACTGGGCTCGAAACGGTTTGTTGCTGTCGAGTGTTTCTTGGAAAGGTGTATAAACCAACACGCTGTTTGCAAACAAGCCCCCCCCCCCCCCCCCCCCCCCCGAGGTGTGGGCAGACGCACGTGCGCAGAAACCAGATTTACGCGAGAGAAATCGACTGCGCATGCGCAGTACCAACAGCGGCGCCACCGCATCGGCGTGACGTCAGAGAGTTGAGTTGTTGTATAGAACGACTCAACTCTCTGAGGTCACGCCGCTGCGCTGGGCAGGGCGCACGCGTAGACGATTCACGCTAACCTGGTTCCTCCGCACGGGCCCCAACACCTCGTGGGGGCTTGTTTGTAAGCAGCGCGTTGTCCTATATTGAGGGTCCACAGTGTGAAGTCGACAGTGAAAGAAGAATTCGCCACCGCGAATTGCAGTTATGGCGCTGCGCTGCGAAAACACGAGGGATATTCTGCTCCGTTGGCTGAATTGCTTAACCACTCAGACCCGTCGGGCGAAGCAAATAATGGTCAAACCTCCTGGATGGCATCCAGATAATATCCTTGTCGCAAATTAAAGGCCCCTTCACACATTTGCAACCGAGCAGGACCGACTGGGAGAAGACCGGTTTTTAAGCCTCTTGCGATGGCTTAAGACCGGACGTGCTGCTGCGGAGCTGGTCCTCGGCCGTCGCAAGAGGCTCAAAACCCGGTCTTGCCTCAGCCGGTCCTACTCGATTGCAGTTGCGTGTGAACGGGTCTTAAACCCGAGCGGAGCCGACTATCCGACGGTGACAATCAAGCAGAACCCAAAGTGCATCGCCATGGCGCTCGTCGTCTTCGTGCGTTTGCTCTCACTGGCTACCGTAATCCTGCGCTTTCTTCTGTGCGTGTATAGCGGTATATAAGGGGTTGTTGGCAATCGTCAGACTTTCCCTTCTAGTCCACCATCATGGCACTGACCTACATTGCCCCGGCTTCCAGGCCTCGCAGTATACAGGAGGCTATGTTAGGAGCTGGCCGAGTGTCTATAAAATGAAATCACTCGGTAATCATTCGCGGATTTGATGAGTAAGCAACTGAGATAGCTAAGCACCGCCACCACCGCCCAAATTGCTGTCGGCTAAATCACTCCAGTGTTTGGAACTATTCATGACACCACGCTTTTCTACCGTGTTTGCGCACGCGTACACTACATTTACATTTAGTTCACCTAACAAATAAACAGAGCCATAATGCGATATGCATATCTCCTTTCGAGGGAATGTCTTTTTTATTTCTTAATTACTTTTAATCGTGACGCTTGCGTGGTTTCTACGAGGCGCGCGCTTGCGCTGTGTCTCTCATCATAATGTAATGACATAGGTGGACGGCAGTGGATCATTCGTGCGCTTGTTCACGCACTGAACGGGCGGCAATGGCAGCGTTTCTCAAAATGCAACCGCCGACGAGCCACGAAGGTCTACCAACTACAGCATGCCAAGTCGAGCACTACTTTCGACAGCACGGCCTGGACGTGGCCAGACCCTGCTCGGCCCCACGGAACTCTGCGTCTACGACAGAGGTGCGACGCTGCTGGATCCTCGACAGCACCGCCGTTTGGAACCGTGTTCTCCACGCCGTCAGCCTGGAGCTGCTGGAGGACTCCCCGGGTCGGCTGACGCTCAAGACCTCCGTGCTTTACCCACCAGGCGTCAAGGACAAGAGCGCCGTCGGCGCCTTCCTGGTGGCGACGCTGCTGAACGACCACCGCTGTGTGCACCACGTCGAAATCAGACACATGAGCCACCTGATGTATAACGCTGGTAACGTTTTTGACGACGTCGTTTTGAACGAAGGGATTGGGCAGGTTACGCTGACAGACCAACGGCCGTTGCATTCAGAGTTAAGGAACAAAGCGTCTAAGCTAATCATGGCCGTGCTCATGGGCGACCCACGCGTGCTTCGATTTCGCACCACCTACCTATCTCGTACCTTGCGGAAAACGTTGCGCGAGGTCATTGTTTGCTCTACAAGGCTTTCTGAGCTTACCCTTCATGACACGAGGCTTGTTGTTCACAAGATAGTCCGCATTTTGGAAGTCGTCAGGTATTCGACGACAATAACTTCCCTGACACTGGACAAAAACAACGTGTTCATAAAAGGATCACGTGGTATAGCCGACCTGCTCGAAAGCAACACATCGTTAGTGGAATTAAGTTTGCGCGAAACCGTGATCGATGACGAAGGTGCGACGGCCATTGCTGGGGCCTTGAAGATCAACAAAACTCTTAAGAGGCTCAACCTAGCGTCCAACGAAATCTTTACCGACGGCGTGCGTGACCTGTCTAGAGCACTCAAGAAGAATACTTCGTTACGTGTTCTTGACCTTGAGAGGAACACTTTCGGGGACCATGGTGTGATGTACGTAGCCGATATGCTGAGAGTGAACGTGACGCTCCAAGAGCTCAATCTAAGCAACACCAAAATGACTGACTATTCTCTACTTAAGCTCGTCGACTCGCTGAAAGTAAACAGAACCTTGCGTGTTCTGTCCGTGCGCCACAATGTGTCTCGCGGAAGAGCTATGAGGGAACTAACTTACCTTCTTGGGATCAACAACACACTCACCCGACTAAACTGCCCGTCAACGTATTTTGTAATGACACTGACAGATTTTGGCGATTACATGAATTCCATAAGGCGCAGTCAGGCCATAGACGGCCTCGAAATTGTGGTCGATAACTCAGCCCAGACCCGGAAACTGTCGCGGATGATCAAAGTGGGAAGAACCCTGCGCCATCTTTCCGTCATTCGTGGGGACCACTGCACCTTATCTCCGCTTTTGAGAGCTCTCAAGGAGAACGAGTCGGTAGAATCGCTGGAAATAGACTTCTTGTTCGGTGGCGAAATACGGGCCCTTGGGAGCCTTCTACAAGAGACGACCACCATTCGTTCGGTAACGCTGAAGTATCCCGTGAACATGGCTGGCTTCATCTCCTTGATGAACGGATTGGCCCACAACAACAGCCTCTGGAAGTTCAGCTTGGACTGCACGATGTTGAAGGAGGGGCATTGTACAGAGATTGCTAGAATGCTGGTCAGCAATGAAACGCTGAACGACCTCGCACTGCGCGACGCTCCGGCTGTGGAAGCCGGTCTTCCTATCCTAGCCGGTGCCCTGTCAATGAATCAGACTTTGCAGCAGTTTGCCATCACTTACCCGACGTCGAACGCCGCTGGTCTTCACGTCGTAGAGTGCCTGCGGAGGAATTGCTCGCGTATGGCACGAGCTGTGGAGTTCGTCCTCGCTCAAGTGGCCAGCAAAAAATCGGCTGAAGCCTTTGAGGCCTTCAGGCACAATGAGTTCTTCGTTCAGAGGCTGGCGGAATCGGCTGGAGGCCGCCAGCGGGCTGAGACGCTCCTGCGTGAGGCGGACCATCGCATCCTGAAGAACTACTTCGTCATCACAGAAGTTGTCAAGGGGGCGCTGGTCTGCCTGCGTTTCCCAGGCAGTGAACATTCCATGGAGATTGACAGCCTGGACGAGTATTCTTTAATCGAGATTACGTCGTACCTGAAAATTTCCGACGTGAAGTAATTTGCACTGAAGCAGTGCTACTTTCATGTTATTCAGCAGGTTTTGGGTCCTGCGGATTTCATTGACGTAAACGTTAATTTTGTTAGTTTTCAACTTCATTTTATGATTTTGGGTTTTGTGCTGCATTGTCTTAAATACCACGTTGCTGCCTGAACTAGCTGGGCTGCGATCTATAGGTTGCAAACATTATCCCCTTGGTCATGCTTTAGATGTCGAAGACAGAATAGATCGGTCCGGGATGCGGGAATTTGAAATTCGCTATGCAATGAGGACAAACTTGTGAAACTTTTGTACTTAAAACATTTGTTTGACAATTTGTTCAGACAGTTTTCATTTATTTGTCGTATTACCCACATGTCGTAACCTTAGCCTTTCATTGGGATGATCACATTCACTTCTCGTGGTATGAATGATTGTGTTTTTAATTTGATGCAACAGCTGAATACCCCAGCAGCTTTGTATGGACGAATGAAGAATGAGTGCTTTCCTGACAAGTAAAAAGTGCACTTGTATATGAATAGTGTGTTTATTTTTGTTCGGATAAACTATAAACAGAAATCGAGCTCAATAATTGGGCAGTAAATATACTCCTGTAAATTGAAGCGTTATTAGGGCAGTCGCTTTGCATCAGATGGCGGCTAGCGCCGCCTATACTTGGTTTCAGTTTACGATGGACTGCAAAGGATGCTGCGAGCCCGACCGAATTAAAAAGCTCGGAGGGCGTCACGTGCCCTTCCGGTTAGGTGGAGCGACGCGCGGAGCACTAAGGCACGAGACAAGCTACCAACTAAACATTGGCTCGTGTAGTTCGTCGTCCATCGCCGTACATCCTAAGGTCAAACTGAAATCTTTGAACGATTGGGCAAGTTTTCTTGAAAATTCGTATCCTTTTAACAGGTGCGTATATGAAACTGGGATTCACGTAACCTCTGCTCCGCTAAAAAACTAAAAATAGCCTTCCAGACATTGTCTATACTTCGTTTCACCTTAAGTCAGGCACAGCCAATGTTAAACGTCGCCTAAGCAAATTAAGTAGCGCACCCAAAGTGCGTGCAGGGGAACGGTGATCGTCGTTCTTTCTCGTTATACGTTACCAACCGGCTCAACTGAATCAAACAATCGAGCATTGTGAATGCGCTTGAGACCTTGCGTTTTTAGTCTGTGCGTTGGTGTTTGAATGTTTTTAGCTTGTGAACTGCGCTTTTTCTTACGATGAAACGAAGTGTAGCACGAATTTTTTCACTCCAAACAAATACGAGACTAATCGTGATGATCATGCTGGTATGAAATGCCTGATATGAAGTGTCCGTGAATCAAGCATCCTGGGATGTGACGAGCAAGCCCACCAAAAGGAATTGGAAGCTGCCCACCAAAGAAAGGCGGGTGGCAGGAGGCGTTTCTGGGTTCTTGTTTTCTTTTGCACCGTTCTCCGACCAGAGCTTCCAGAAACTACCTAGGTAGTGACTTGCTGTCACTTTATCTAGGTAGTTTACAACCCTAGGTTTGATTCAAACGATTCTACTGAAAACATGCTTGGCTAAGGGTATTTCTTAAACGGGAGCTTCGGGAAAGTTTTAGTGGTCGCTAATTTACCTCAAAATGGGTTCAACAAATCAATCAAACAAAACTAAACTATAGCACCTAAATAGGTCAAAAGATTATTTTTTCCGCCAGGTTATTGTATTAACGAACCTGGTCCTCACCTTATTTTTATACTGGAGGTCTCTACTGGCAACACAAAAAAGCAATGACAGATGCGGTTACAGAAGGTAATGAACTTTATTAAAAAATATGACGAGAACTTTCTGGGTGGGGAATTAATGCACTCTCAATCGATGCAAATCGATACGAACGCCAAAAACACCCCGATACTGGACTATGTCGTCTGCGTCGCCGCCCGCCGTAGACCCTGGCAAGTTTCTTGGTCCCATTTTTTTGTAGAAAGAAAGCTACGCTTTGTAATTTTCCAAGAAAAAATGAAAGCCGTTTACAATTCCCTGTAACGCCGCTTAGAGCGCAGCTCTTGAGGAGGAGGATGGAAGCGTACGGAGGGATAGGCGACTCCTTGAGGTCACGTGACCTCAGGGGGGTCGTGTGACGTCAGGAGGGTCACGCGACCTTAGGGGGTCACGTGCACTCAGGGGGTCACGTGACCTCAGGGGAATCACGTGACCTCAGGCGGTTACGCCGATGGCGACGGCGACGCCGCTCAAGCCGGAAACGGGCCCCTAAGAGCTGCGCTTTAAGAACCGACCAGTGAAATACACCTTTCATGAAATGTTTATATTGCCACGTGCAAGCGTCATTTTTACGGTACATTTTAGATCGAGCCTGGACTTGGGTCACCCTGTATATACTCCTTGGAATGAATTAAATGAGGTAAGTAACTCAATGTATCTTAAAATTAATTTCTGTTAAAACGCTTCGACTGCGTGAAGCCCACAACAATTGTTTTAACAAATTGCTTCTTATCAGCTGCTCTACTTTAGTGCTCTGTCAGTACGACCATCTGGCTTATATTAATTTGAGGGTTTGCGATGAGCACGAGAACACACTCCCATGTTCAGCCAACGTCACCTAGGATGATCAAAGCCCGTGAACCGCCTCCTCCACCTTTACTTATCACCATCGCTTTCAGATGGCGCCAACCCAGCGATTTGGCCCGAGCCTGACGCCGAGCACCCTTCGGCGCACTGACGGGACAAGAGGTGCTGCCGAACGCTGACGCCGCACTCATGATCAATCTATGTCTGGGCTCGAAATGTTGGTGCGCGAGATTTGATAATTTTAGGGTGTTTGGGTTCCGAGGGAGTAAGGACACACCTCGACCGGGCCGTTTCATGTTGTCCCGCGTGACTAGATTAGTCGCCTTGAATGCCAGAGGTCTTTGCTCTCGCGCGTTACGGAAAACAAATTGCAAGGTTTCATGTCATATGCGTCGTTCGTTTGATTTTTTTTTTTTTTGCCGCTGCGACGTTTAACGTTACTTGCAGCAAGTGGACGTACACAATGAGTTTTAGTGGTCTCCAATAACAATCTAAATGCCTTAGATTTCAGTTTCCTCTTTAATTTTACTTTATTAGAACAAAATAACCATCTGAAACGCAAAAACAAGAATCGCTTTTATTTGTTTATCGTTTTTTGAAAGTTCATTGTAACGGAGGATGATCTCGAGTAGTTTGTTTACGAAAACTAGAATACTACATAGATGTTGTCTTAGTCTCACGCACCCAACACTCTTAAAAAAAAGAAGCTAGTAGTATCTACTAGGTATAAAGAGCTAGTAACCGCTTGTAACATATGTCACTAGGCACCTAGTAACCGCAGGTAGTAACGGTCAAGCTAGTAACGGTTACTAGGTCAAGAAGATGGTAACTATTACTAGCCTCAAAGTAGAATCTATGTATTTTACTACCTCTGCCTAGTAGCAAGCGCTGCCTCCCATTGATCTCAATGACAATTGCTGGATCGCGCTTCCCGCTCCCGCAAATGAAGCCACCGGACGCAACCTTGCTGGGATACGATTTGCGGTTTTGCTAGGAACATCCTGATATGGGTTCGGTTACTGTACCTATTCCGGATATGATTGGACGCCCTGGGTTACCAGGTTTGTGAATCTTAGGGAGCATGTAGACAGTTTAATTAAACATCAGGATATGTAGACAGTTTAATTAAACATATACCTACAACTCTTGATTTGTACATTAAAGACACAACTCACTTCTTAAGAGAAATATCAAATTTATGCATACCAAAAGAATCATATCTCGTTACACTCGATGTGTCATCGCTGTATACGAATATTCCACATGATGATGGAATACTCTCTTTAATTGACATGTACGAACTCCACAGACAACCGGATACCCCAGATGGACACGTCGTCGCTACTCTAGCGAGGCTTGTCTTAGAACTAAACACGTTCGAATTTAACAATAAATACTTTAGGCAGGTTAGCGGAACCGCGATGGGCACCAAAATGGCCCCGAACTATGGGTAACCGGACAAAAGCTCACCGGACAAAAGCTCACCGGACAGAAGCTCACCGGACAAAAGCTCACCGGACAAAAGCTCACCCGTTTTTTGAAAGACCCGGACAAAAGCTCACCCCCTTTTTTGACAGACCCGGGCAAAAGCTCACCTCGATTTCTTTTCTTTTTTTTTTCTACCCGGGCGAAACACGGGCTGAAATAAAGTGCGGACGCAATGGACATTGGACCTTTTTTAGGAGAACTTGTAACAGTCGCCTGCCATATGAGCTCCCCCGGCCGAACGCTGACCGGATCAGCGAAAATCCCGCACGCGGCGCGCCGAGCGTTGCCGCGTTTTGGGAGCCGGGCTATTGGGACCAAACCATTCCGTTATCGGAGGAGTGGACGCATAGCTTTTATTGGGATTCCAGCCTTTAGAAGTGTGAATCACAAAAACATGGCCCATTAGAATTGCCGTTTTCGGGTGTTGGCCCCGAGTGTCCGGAGATGATGTTATAACTGCTGATAAACTGGAGCTTGCCTTAGGCGTAGATAAAGCAGCAGTGTTCAATCGATGCTTACAAATGTAAACACCTTATGTTTGATATGATATTAGGCATTGCAACAATGATCCCTCGTCAAGCGAGAAGTGACCGACCAGGAGGCCATTTGCAAAGTCATCGTGTAGAGTATTACCCTCGGCGAAGCAACACGCTACTGAGCGCAGAACAATGGAGTCTCCTCGATAAACCGCGTTCATGAAAAGCGTCTGAATCTTTATTCTGCTTCGACACAAATATTTTCTTTCTGTTATCTATAGCATATCCTTACAGAAAAACTAAATTATTTCAAAATCGCTTGTCATTGTCTAGTCTACGTTTAAGAAAGATTGTAAGAAAGGGGGGCTTGTGCGTAGGACTACTCTTCGGGTAGGAAATATCTAAAATGACAAACCGGTTTTGCAAATAAAAAAGTAGCATATAACACGTCAGAGATATTATGTATTGAAGAATTTCGATAAGCCGTCTGCGTTAACCTACAACCAGAAGAGGGATTGTAATCGGCCGTGCTTCAGACTCGCGTTCCAAAACGCGGAATCCCGATAAAAGCTATGCGTCCACCCTTTGATAACGGAATGGTTTGATCCCAGTAGCCCAGCTCCCAGAACGCGGCAACGCTCGACGGGCCCCATGCGGGATTTTCGCTGCTCCGGTCGGCGTTCGGCCGGGGGAGCTCATATGGCCGGCGACTGTACCTCATCCACCATTGAGTTGCGAATTTTTCAAAAATACTTTGAAAGAGCGGGAGTTCGGCCTTCTGGAAAAGTACAAGACAGATGACCAATTTAAAAAAAAAATTGTGCGGGATTTTAGATAGGCTCGGGTTCCTTCCACCACAGCTTGTTCCACAAGAACTAACCACCAGGAAAAGTCTACCGCAGTGACATCGGCTACCTGCTGGACTATTTGGATTGCACGTATTTCAACGGCCGCTTCCGTTATGCTTCTGTTCCATCTGCGGCGGCACCCAGAGCGAATTCTTCCCTT